TGATGTAAGGCATATGAACTTCTGGCCGAAAACAGTTTATGGTATTCATAGAATTTCGAACCATAAAGGTTGTGAATTTCAATGATGTTGGCCTCATATCTGTCCAACTCATCGCGCCTGTTTGGATGTCTTGCGCACATAATACGTTTATATTTGCCAAAGGCCGTTATGAATTCGCTGATGGTGAGGAACTTGCTTAATCTGGGGTCTGTCGGAGTTTTTATGCTAAACTGTACACCTTCCGTGTGCACGATATGTTCCTTTGCGGTTTCGTACCCAGGGATCAGCAATGCTGCCAAATTAACATCTATCCCCTCAACGATTTGTTTGTGGGTCGTATCCGACACGATATCAAGGGGTGGCAAACGGTCTGGTGATACGCACTTGTCATGTCACTTGATGTCGAACTCGCTGGCGTATCATTAAGTTTCGCCATGGCCTCCTCTAGCGCGTTCCTCTCTGTAGGAGGCTGCTGACTTGACGTGCTAGCTTGGGAGGACCTGTTCAGCTCCCGCTGAAGGAGTAGGTTGATTGTTGTTTGTAACTGTTGTAATGTGTCATTCTGCGACATGGGCGCCGCCATATTGTTCGTCACTGCTGCGCGCGCAGCCCCAACTTCCGCCCCACTATTAATAACTTCTGAACGTGACTGTGATGCACTTTCAGTTTCTTCATCTAACACGTGCACAGAATCCACATTTTCGATTGACACATTATCTACACGCGATCTTCCTCTACGTGCAACGAGTGTAGGCCTATTTGTCGACGTTGGTGAAACCACGGCCTGTTCGGTGGGCTGGTGACGCTTAGCGTTCTCGACGTACAGTGTCCGCAGAGTGGCTTTAGACATTGAAACAGGTGTCCAAAAGCCCAGTTCTAGCAATTTCTCTGTCAGCATACTGATCGACTGTCCAATTTGATGGGTTATGCATGTCGTATCCTGGAAAACTTTGGTGATTGGAAGGACGTTTTCTTCGACCTCTTCCCGCCATTGCGGAATGCTTCCAAGCGGGATGCAAAACCTGCTGTCCAAAATAACTCCGTGTCACCTGTTAACTATTATATTCCACACTTAAAACATACGTCCCAAGTCAAAAGTAATTTCTTATATCTCCTACAGAATGTGTTCATGCACACGAAAGGTAATAAATGAAAAATCACGAAATAATCAGACACCAAAATCTACTGCAAACAGGCTGCTGAAACTGACCCAAACAAAGACTGACTCACGTGACTGAACTGACCAATCACGGACTGTACTTGACCACCGTGTCACATGGCTGAAACTGACCATAGCTGACCTAACTGCCTTTGCGCCTGCGTGTGAAATGGTAGACTTGTCTTAGTTCATAAACCACACTTATGTACATAAGTTTCAATCTGATAATGGCTTCAACATTTTGGCTCACCCGGCCGGGTTATCTATTTATTTGCATCTTAAAATACTCTTAACATCTTTTTCATTGGAGCCAAAAGGTATAGAGTCATATTTGTTTAATAAGTAACTTGCACAGCATGCAATAGACTTTACAAAAACAGATGACCTTGATCTGTATGCAAGGTCAAAGGGGTGAAATTTATAAAAATGTAAACTGAAAGTAGTATTATGTTTTGCTGCTCTGTTTAAATAAAGGACCTTTAAGCACTTAAAATATTGCAGGGGGTCAAATGTGTTGGAACATAACTGAACATTTTAGCAATTTCTTCTGTATAAATAGGGGACCTTAAGCACAATGATATTTGGCTGGTGATGATTGGCTATGAAAGTTCAAAAAGGATTTAATTACCCTCAAATGATTATACTCAAAATATATTTCACCCCAAATTGGAATTATGTTGATTTAAGGGTTTAAGGACTACGTGGGGCAGACATCAGGTATTGGCCGTAGGTTGGTGTTTTTTCTCCGGAAAATATGGCTTTCCTCAACCACCAAAACCTGGCGTGTCCTTAAATTACCAAAGCTGTTAATAGGACACTAAACACAAATTAAACCAAACATAACATGGAATGGGTAATGAACCTTGCTCTATAAACGTACACAATTGCTAGGCTTAAAGACACAAATGCAATTGTACACTTATGGTACTTAAGGATTGGCCCTTATATATCCAAACATTATATTTCTCGTACACATATTTTTTATACTATTCAGCTCATTTTAAATTCAGAGTAAAATTCCAATTAAGCTATTGAAGACCCTTGGCCTATTGTATTCTTAAAAAGTTTTAGAAAATGCAAAACATATGGTATTTATCACAAACAATTAGGTTTGTGGATAATCACCAAAAACAGTTATAATCCCATTCAGACACAATCAATATTTGTCAGATAACAAACTAAGAGTGCTATTGAATTTTGTCAAGTTGAAAAACTTTCAACATCACAGTTCCAATGCGTCAAATGCCAAAAGATGAAAAAGAAATAAATTGATGTACTCTTGATCTTGTACAATTTTTCGTTATAAATAAAACTGATTCACATATATGTAGTTATAATTATATTTCAGTAATACCTTAATAGTGTGATTAACTTTGTTACCTTTATTCATTTTTTTTCTTGTATGAAGGAGGAATGTCTTTGGAGGATGATTTATGGCAAAATGGCACCCCCAGTCCATCTACCTTTAACAGCAAACCAGATTTTCAGACTTACTTCAGTGGTGAGACTGGCAACCTTCATTGTTCAAGCGTCATCTATACTGAGTTCCCAGCACAGAATGCCAGAGCAAGTGGGATGTCCTCATCTAAATCTGTTGTTTCCTCCAAAATTAAAAAAGCATTGGATGTTGCTGAGTCAAAGGAAGTCTTCAGCTTAGCTATTCCTCTGGATTTATCTGATGTCACTGCCTTACCAATTTGCATGCAAGCAGTAGCAGAATCTTTGTGTAACTATGTCGGAACTTTTAAACATTTGAGAGAAATATATCTCTACTGTCCTGATGGGGAGTTAGAAAATGCCAGACAGATCTTCACCAAAGCTAATCAGTATCATCTGCAAATGCAAAAAAGTGTTGATTTCTCACTGTTAGAAAAGGGTAAGTGTTATTATGCTTTTTCTTTGTAAGTTTCATCAGTGCCAGCCCCAGGGTTAGGGATTGAGCTGCCTCTGATGGAGAAAAAAACCCAGCTACAATATTTTTTCGGTAAGAAGCCACCAATAATTATTGCACTTGGGAAGAAATGCCTACAAAAGTTTTTTCATGGTTCTGTAATAGCCCCATCCCATTAAGATTTTATGTGTTGGCCCCCCTGGGTTTATTGCAGAATAAATACAGTAATTGCCATGGTGTGCATTGATGTTTAAGTCTGATTGATATCTAGAGTAGCCAATCATTTTGAAAAGAATTGATTTATTGTCTATACAAAGCCATTTATCTAAAAAATGTATAAATACAGTTTTGCTCAGATAAAAAGAATAAAAGGCAGAATAAACAAAATGATGCAAATCTCGTTAAAGGTAAAGAGTTCCAGGAGGATAAATTATATTATTACTCCTGCCACTGTTGTGAAATGATTGTTTAAAACATGGTTGTGAAACCGGACTAATTTAAGTAACCGCGGTTACTCAAAAAAACTTCAGACCAAGTAAGAAGTTAATAAATTGGTCCAGTAATCAAAGAAAAAACAACAATGCAAATAACATTATAATTATGTTTAGCAAATTTTCTATTCAAAATGAATAAACACATCATATATATATTAATTTTTCAAGATTCTTTACTCAAGTTTTTCAAGCTCTCAACACCTTAATGCAGAAAATATATAGGTTTATTTTATTGACAGCATCAGTCAGTAGAAAGTGAAATAGTTAGTTCTGCTCGATTCTTTTCATGTTTCACTGATGTCATTTAATTGGGTATACTCTTTTAAATTAATTTACGTCCCACCCTTAAAGCGAGTTCTACCTCGCAAGTTTGCATTCTGGCCCTCTTTTAAAACCTGTTTTGGCTTTTCTATGGTGTGGTCGGCATCTCCTTGTCAATCTTTACTATCAAGTACAAAAACATCACCCTAATCAGTCAGCCTGAGTGTTGTTTTTATTGCCGAAAAAAATCCAATTTTGGTCTCATCGATAGAGAATTAGTAGGTAGCTACCCAAACATTGAGCTGCTCATTGGGGTAAACTAATGTCCAACTATTCTGTTAGAATCCTAAAATATAACCTTTTAATCATTCAAATAATTGAAACAATTTATCTGTGCTCTTTTCACCTTAATACAGCAATCATGCATGTGAAAACTCTGTAAAAGAAGAAATGTAAACAGTATTTTAGATGAGATAAATGTAACATTGTTGTCGCAAAAATTTCATATTCAACTTGGTATCAATTTAATTATTAAATTGTTGGTTTATTAATTTGTCATTAGTCAAGAAAAAATGCTGGGCTTAATTGGTTTCATTAGATTTTAACACAGGTTGTGTTGAGTTTCATGTTTAGTATCATGTGTGACCACGTCTAGTGTCAGCTTTTTTCTTCAAATGATTTCTTTGGAATAATCAAGATGCCTAATGAAATAATATTTGGCCAATAGCCTGCTTAGATTGACGGTAATCAATTTTGTTCAAATAAATGAACTTGTATGCTTCCAAAGTCAAATGTGTTAAAACATTTTAACAACTTCTTCCAAGTAACCTTGATACCAGTAGGGTAGCGATATTTTGCCAATAGCGGGCTTCGAGTAATTTGTACACTGACCCTGCCTCTAGAATTTATAATTACAAAGAAAAAGGTCATTGGGGTCAAATATGCAATAACATTTTAACAACTTTAGAACAACCAAGAGGTCTTACAGGGTCATAAATTTTGGCCAACTACATGTTTGGATAAATGGTGACCTGCAGTTTATCCAAACAAATATCCATTTTCAAGGTCACAGGGAAGATATGTGTTTGCATTGAAACTACCTCTTCTGAATGACATAAGAGTTCTAGAATACGAGAGAACTATCAAGTTTGTTCAATTCAATGACCTTGACCCACTTTCAAGGCTAGAGAAGTCAGATGTGTTCAGACGTATGAAGAACTTCATCTGAATACAAAAAGTCCTAGAGTAATGATATTTGACTTGTATCTTAATGGGGTTGAGGGCTATTGTGTTTGGAATTTGCATAAATTACCTAGACCAAATTTGAAGGGCACATGATGAAAATGAATTTACATCTTCCAACAAAGATGTGTAAGGTTTAGAGACTAGGTGATAAATCTTAAATCCAAAAAATATTACTCAACCGAAAAACAATGATATTTAGCCAATTTAAGTAACTAGATGAATTAACTTTTGATAACACTAATTAAATTTTGACAAAATATATTAACAAGATACATTTACTGTTGGCATGAATATTGATCCAACAGATAAGAGGAATGGAAACAAAAAGATCAAATATATATACTTAAATGTAGATCTTACAAGGTAGGCACTTTCATCTCTTGTAGATTCATATTTGGAGATTATTGTTCATTATGGCAAATTGATAAGTTGTTTTGTCTTGCACTTTGTAGATCGAGAAGGAGGGAGGAGAAAATCACGAATACAGCTGGAAATATTTGAAGGGTCTTTGACTGACCAAAAGGTAAATGGAAGCATCGTACCTGTAAACTCTCTTAACTGCTGTAAGCAAACCAGCAGCATAATTGTTTTTTTAGCTCACCTGGCCCGATGGGCCAAGTGAGCTTATGCAATGGCGCGGCGTCCGTCGTCTGTCCATCGTCCGTCCTGCGTCAACTTTTTACTTTTAACAACTTCTTCTGAATAACCAAGACGCCAAGGCTGATGATATTTGGCCAGTAGCATGCTTGGATGAAGGGGTACCAAGTTTGTTCAAATGAATGACCTTTGTCCATTTTCAAGGTCACAGGGGTCAAATATAATAAATTCTTTCAACAACTTCTTCTGAATAACCAAAAGGCTAAGGGTGATGATATTTAGCCAGGGACATGCTGGGATGAAAGGCTACCAAGTATTTTCAATTGAATGACCTTGACTTATATTCAAGGTCACAGGGGTCAAATATGTTGAAAACCTTTAAACAACTTCTTCTGAATAACAAAAAAGGTCCAGGATGATGATATTCGGCCAGTTACAAGCTTGGATGATGTGTTAACAAGTTTGATCTTCACCCATTTTCAAGGTCACAGAGGTCAAATATGTTGAAATTGTTTAATAGATTCTTTTGAATCAAACACTTATATTTTACCTGTCACTGCTGGATTATAGTCCACTTTTAAGATTACAAGTGTGAGATTAATACCAGGTGAGCGATTCAGGCCCATTGGTCCTCTTGTTTTTCTTCACAAAGATTCCCAGCTTATACATTTCCTTGTCATATAAACTTGATATATACATGCACACCGACAAACTTCTACATTTTGCATTAATCGATTAAGCTGCATGAATAGAATGAAAGCAATAGTTATTCACCTTAATTTATAAATAACTAAAGTTATTGGGCGAGGAGATCCAAGTTGTCCGGTGGGTAGTGGTCGGTCGATGTACCTGTGAAGGAATCAACAAAAGAATTTTTAACACTTCCCCAGTATCTCATTTCCTGCGATTATACTGTATATCACATGGTTACTCGATAATTACTACGACTTATGTTACAAACTATAATTTGCACCTTATATAATAAGCTCTGCTAGGTACCATTGTAGAGTTGTTCTGATGACGATTAGCCAAGCCATCCAAAACATGCAAATTAATATAACTTACATTTACGGAATCCTTGGTGTTGACGCTCCATCACTTACCTACTTGTATTCACCCTATAATGAAAGCAGGTACTTATTATTTAGGCAAAAATAATTAACATATATTTAGCGTAACATCATTAGATGGTGGACTTTTGAAAATGCCATTTATATGTCTGTTGTTCATCCCGAAGAGGACATGTTAGTTTGCAGGGAATATATTATAATTTTGGCTATTCCGTCAATGCTTGACTTTGTCAAGTTATTTTGTTTAGCCTGTTATATTAGATTAGTTTTTACATTATTTATGGCATTCATAATCAGAACCTTGTACATTATTTATGGCATTCATAAGCAGAACCTTGAAAACATTGATTCAATTTTCTTATTGACTAAAAATATCAACAAGCAAATGTAGTTGATCATTGCTGACGTTTTCAAGGTTTGCTTACATTTTCAGGCGATTAGTTTTTAATAGATTGAAATATTAGCAACTGCATTGTGAATTAATAAGTCTGCATGTCGTAAAGATAAACAAGGTTTTTAAAACACTGAACTATATGGGTATGTATATGTATATGGGGCAAAGAAGTAATTCCAACAGTGTGGACATTTTTAGGTTAGGTATGTATATGTAGATACAGTCAAACCTGAATTAAGGGACCACACTCTGAAATACTAAAAAGTGGTCTTATATAAGAGAGATGTTCTCTTAATTCTGGTTCATCACTAATATGGGGAACATATGAAGTGGTCTCTTATCACAGGTGGTCTCTACTAGAGGTGATTGTATGAACAGGTTTGATTGTATATATGATACAAAGTACCAAACTCAAAACTTCAAAATTAAAAATTATTATATTCATGTCAGATTTGAGGAGAAGTTTGATTCATAAACATCTGTTTAACATCCTTTCCTGTAATAATTGTCTGTGAATGATGTAAAGTCTTTATCGTTTTAAGGTGGATATTCTTGTCAACACAACCAATACCAAACTGGACTTAGATTGTGGATTTGTTTCCAAAACAATGTTACTTAAAGCTGGACAAAGTATCCAAAAAGAATGCAATGATCACTACAAAGATGGGATCAACATAGGTGATATAACTTGGACCTCGGCTGGAAACTTTTCTGATGTAAAACGCATATTTCATGTAGTTTTGCCTCCCTGGAGACCAACAGGCAATTTTTCTCTCATGGTAAGTAAAACAACAATGGTTTCTCTGAATCATCATCATGTCGCGAAAGATTTAATATGAAATGAATTTGATTTTACAGAATAATTGATTGCATATATGTCTTTTTGAAATGATATCAATGTAAACATTGCTTGTAAAAGTAGATTAGGGAAATGGCCCCAGGAGTTTATCTTGTGGTATAGAGAAACCTCTTAAAAATAGATTTAACTCGAAAGTGGGAGTTTCATGGTGACCCCCCACCCCTATTCCTACCTGATACCACATGTTTTACGGCAGAGCCTTTTAAGATCAAATTAAGATATGCTGGGTAAACCTCCTATGCTAAATATGATGTGCTAGGTGGTGCCACCGGTAGGAATGCCTTCTTCCATTGGACAGTGGATCAGTTTATATAGAACAGATTTGAGGTTAAAACATAAGAGCTGAACCCTTTTTACTTTAAAAGCAAGTTGGAGTTGGTAGAGGTGCTTTAAATTGTTTGGTAGTCATTGCGTCTTTCGATTCATACAGGATTGGCAAACACAGTTTCTATGAAACTTATAATCCAATAAGGGGCAGAATGTGTAAACGTATTACCCACCCCTCTGACTGCCTGTAGTATTAGAGTGCTATTTGACAAAATATCTCAATAATTTCTGACAGGTGACTTTTCTGAATCACCATATTGTGGCTTAGAGAATTGTTTAAAGCGATTTAGAGTCATTAGACACCAGTCATTTACACTCTTGGCTTGATAAAGGAAACAGACATTTTTGAAAGCTTGTAAAATAAGTTTTCAGTCACTGTTTGTGTTTAAAACAAACTTTGCATTTATTAATCACACCAGACTGATGAATCTCGTTTTTAACACAGTTTCTACAAAATTGAAGCTTGGTTTGAGATGCAAATCAAGCCAAACTGTGATTGTGTGAGTTGTACTTACATCTCAAAATGGCACTGGGCTGTACACCTTGCATGTTTACTCCTACCCTTATACATGAAAATATCATGTCACAATACTTTATGCTTTCCATCTCTTATAACCGTTACATGATCTTTAAGTGACACAAGAATAACAATGAATCCACAATATTATACCTTGAATACATTTGAATATTCCAATGCTGGCTAGTTCCGTCATCAGATGGATGGTCCTCCTTCGTTAGACCTTTCGGCGCTTATCCATGACGCCCTCCAGAGGTGCGCCGACTGGGTTGATCAGACCCAGCCAGGGACAGGTCGGCTCTCGCTGCTGCTGGTTGGAATTGCAGCTTGCTGCCATGTTGTTGCTGCAGCAGCATGCAGCATCCATTGAGTCTCGTGATGTCCCATGTTGTAGCACTGTTGCTGGTGTCCACTCCACGGCTCTTCTCTCTTCCTCCATTTAGAGTTTGATATCATCTCTGCCTGTCTGCTCACCACACCCACCAGCTTCTTCCGCCCTGTCCCTAGCATCCCCAGCATCCCCAGCAACCTCAAAGTCCTCCATAGAGATTGGCCAGGGAAACCCCTGCATTCAACCTCTACTGGCAGGCACCACCTTCCAACTTTGTTGTTGGCAGTCCTATACAAGTTTCTGGTACTTCGTCCTCTTCCGCTTAAGTGCCTCCTCTATCCTGTCCTCCCGTGGAACGGTCAGTTCTACCATCAGGACCAGCTTGGAGTTCCAGGACCAGAACACAATGTTAGAGTATGGTAGCAGCCACCTCTGCTGGTAAACCCATCCTCTGATGGATGTCTGCCCTTATTTCCCAGTCTCCTGCTGTTGCGAGTATCCCACCTCCCTCCGAGCTGCTCTCCCCTTTGGTTCCTGCCTTCACGAAGTTGACAAACTTTGTTCCCTTATTCACTGCTCTTTTCTTCTTTCTGGCATTGTCAAGGCTCTCTGCTATTTCCTTGAGAACCTGGTCATGGTGCCATGTGTACCTGCCATCTGTAAGTTCAACTGTGCTAGCATATACTCCGATTGGCGGGTCATCCTCAGAGTCCAATTGCTGCATTGTCTCTCAGTCCCCAGGTGTGTAGATTTGATGGGCTAGGTAGCATGTCATATGTTGCCTTCAACAGGAAGCCAAGTCTGTACCCCTCCATCCTCCAGATGTCACCCCATGATAATTTCTACTCTCTTGCACTCTCCCAATGTAGCCAACTTCCCTGTTTGCTCATACCGACAGCCTGTATACCTGCCTGGTCTCTTCTTTCGTCGTTCTGACCTCTGTTTGAGTAATCTCTCCGCGCTGCCTTTGGCAAGCCCTTCCCCATATAGGTCTGGAGATTGTTCCTAGTCCAAGGAGCCCATTATATAAATAATTATAATTATATAAATAATACAACAGCCTTGTTGTCAAGCGCGATATCATTAGATTATCATATGTTTACTAATAATAACACCCTTTTTGTATGTGTAATAAGTCTAAAATTGCCACAAGTTGATATCAGCCCGGGTGATATCACAGACCCTTGGAGTGATATCACACCCCTTGAAAGTGATATCACACCCCCTAGAAAAGTGATATCACACCCCCTCCTAAATTTCCGGATTTTGCCATTTCCGTTTATTGCTGTCTGCTTTTAATGTAAACAAACGAATTGTTGTCATAGAATAAATGCCGTTTCATGGAAAATAATTTAAAGCTTGATTTACAAAGCCCCACCCAAATTTCTGGATGGCGCCGCTTCCGGATTTGGTTTTGCTTATTAGTGTTACACATGTCGTCTGCATAATCAACGATGGTGACTGGCGAGGAGATTTTGGAGGAATTTGCAGCAAGGATTGTTGAATTAGACGTAATGATTAACAACGAACAAATGGAAAAGGAGACGAAACGTGTTATGGATGCAGGGGAACAATTCAATAATGCTAATGATACCGAAGCTGTCGTGGAAAGCATGAGAAACAAGAACACTGCGAAAAAAACGCAATCGGACATCAAAATATTCACGGATTATCTTATGTCTCACGTACTTTTTACGTATAATTGTTGCTGTTTTGTTTATATACATCATTGTTTTTGTTACCATTTTTATGAATAACAATAAACAAAATATTTGTTTATTAGTTTATATATTAGTTACTTCAATAGACATTACATAATAATTTACCAATTTTCTTCTTTTCCCCCTTTTCCAAACAAGCTTTGTCGGCGCGCTAATTATTACGATTCTGATTCCCGCCCTATTTTAATGCATTACATTTTTCATGTTTTATGCTTTAAAAATGTAATAAATAGAAAATTAAATGGTGTCTTCAGTTATAATAAATATATTTCACTTGTGTGGCTAATATTTTGATATATTTACCATCGTATGGCATTGCCACTATATAACCCTACCAAAGTTAGTTGCGAGTTGTCCAGCTCATGAACTGCTATAACAGCGTAGGAATTCAAAGGAATGAAAACAAGTTAAAGCTACCTCCCCTTGATCGACAATTCTGTTATGTTTGTTGACAACAGAAAATGGGGAAAAAAACCTATCATACGTGACAGATTGAAATTAAAAGAAATATAATAATAGATGACAGAAGTCGAAAATAAACGCTACGTTACTTTTAAAATAAAAATAAAATGCCACCTATCTGTAAGGAGTATCTGTCGTCTACGAAATGGATGATAGCGACGATATTGGATTATCCAACTCAGAGCTTGGAAATTGGAGTATTTGTTTGCCCAGTGATAGGAATACAGATGAAATGGATATGGATACCAGCAAGGAAGATTTATTAAGCGGACTAGATCTGGAAGGGATAGAATTGATGGCAAGTTCCAAAGGAATTTGGAAAGAAATTGAAGCGAAAATACAGAGGGCGGCATTGGAGTGCCTGCCCCCTCCAGAAATGCCGGTGTCTGCGAACCAAGGGGAGGTTTGACAATGTAACTGATGACGATCTTTCACTGTATTTCGATGCCAGACAGGCCAATTCCACCAAAAAAAACACTGCCTGGGGGATAAAGATATTTCAAAGTAAGTTTGATTGGTACTGTAGAAGTTTGTTAATAGTGTCACATTGTATAAAAATCAATCAAAACACGTTAAATGTTGCAATTTATAAAACGCAAACAAAAAACGGCTTAACTGTTACACAGCTGACTTTCTCACTCCTTATCTGGGGAATCGCAGTCAAATTTAATTGTATTTTACAGACAGGAATATTGAGAAAACTGGGAAATCGGTCTACATGCAGGAAGTAAGCGTTCAGGACCTGGCCGAGGAACTACGGAGGTTTTATGTTGAAGCTAGACTGAAGGGGGAGATCTATACCACAGGAACACATTGAAAAACATTCGGGGAGCGATAAACAGGCATTTGGCTGATATTCATAGGAACATTGATATCATGAGAGATAAAGATTTCAGACATGAGAATGGAATTCTGGACGGGCTGCTCAAGCACAAAGAAAAGTCAGGCTTAAGTAAACCAACTAACCATAAACCTGTTATTGAACCGTGTCACCTAGAAAAAATTGCCACTTACCTGGCCGCTGCTGATACCTCACTGGTGATCCTTCGCCACTGTGTGTGGTTCAATTTATCCATTCACTTTGTGACAAGGGGGATGGAATTTCATCACCAGCTTACCCCCAATTCATTCACCTTTCAACTTGACGAATCTGGAGAATATGTTACACTTTCACACACAACCCAGCAAAAACAAAACCAAGGTTGACTGGATTCCCGATAATCGGCTAAAGATAAGCGAATGTACAGTCGTCCTGGTGTCCGGTGAAAATGTTGAAACCTTTTTTTAGAAAAAAATTATGTTAATTCCACACAGCTGTTCAATCAGTATAACAATTGAAGGTTGCTTGTATCTCCCCTTTGACCACCAACATTTGGTACAACACAATGCCTCTGGTGAAACGTACATTCGCACGTTTTCTCTCTTTCATCTGTAAATCGTCCCATGTCGACAAGCAGTACACACCTCATTGCCTACAGGCCACAGCAATCCAGTACTTAACACTGAGAAACACTTAAGGACGAAAAAATCAATTCTACGACTTAATCTACCTTATTATACCA